AGCCTTTTGTCGTTTCACACATGATTCCTTACTTTGTTAGTGTGAAAAATGATAATGCCCGTAGTCACTTGGTGTCAACGTTGCTGGTGTGAACTAGTTAGCCTGTTGTCGTTTCACACACGATTCCTTACTTTGTTAGTGTGAAAAATGATAATGCCCGTAGTCACTTGGTGTCAACGTTGCTGGTGTGAACTAGTTAGCCTGTTGTCGTTTCACACACGATTCCTTACTTTGTTAGTGTGAAAAATGATAATACCCATTGTCACTTGGTGTCAACGTTGCTGGTGTGAACTAGTTAGCCTGTTGTCGTTTCACACACGATTCCTTACTTTGTTAGTGTGAAAAATGATAATGCCCGTAGTCACTTGGTGTCAACGTTGCTGGTGTGAACTAGTTAGCATTTTGTCGTTTCACACACGATTCCTTATTTTGTTAGTGGTGAAAAATGACAATACCCTTAGTCACTTGGTGTCAACGTTGCTGGTGTGAACTAGTTAGCATTTTGTCGTTTCACACACGATTCCTTATTTTGTTAGTGGTGAAAAATGATAATACCCGTAGTCACTTGATGTCAACGTTTTACTAGTGTGGACTGGATAGCTTGTTGAGCCCTACTTGTATACAGATGTTAATGCCTTAGATTTGAGATGGTTTTATATCTTAAATAAGTACTGGTTTTCGTTTAATAAATAAAAGGTTTTGCTTATCAGAAACGATGTTTACGTGCTACATGTAATGTTTAAGTTGTTGCAGTTTTTGTTCTTAGTATTGTATTACATATCAGCGTACTCATCTTCGAAGGAGTAAGATTTACTTCGTGTTATGTCTTTTAAACTTCCACAGATCAACGTAATTTATGATAACTTGTTTGTTCTTACAATTATATTTAACTAAACTTATCAGTAACACACTAATACGTGTTGTTTTGTGTGGTATGCATTATGAACCCTGCGCGACAAACAAGTTTTGGCGAACTGCGGAATTGATGCCAGTTTTAAATTTTGAGTTGCGTGCAACGTAATATTTCTGAATATTTCGTTAAATTATTAATCAGTAAGATTGTTGATTGGTCAGGAGGGGTGTGGGTCAGTTTGATCAGATACGCGCCGAGTCTCTTTATAATTACATTTGTGCAGTTATAAAATAAGCTTAGAATAGGCCTGAAATAACCATACAACAAGCTACATACTAAAAAGTAATACTTGTTGTTCAGTGCTCGGGTTTATTATGAGTGATACGGGTAGCAACAATACGGGTAGCAACATAAATACTGAATCTCAGTACTTGATTGAAAATTTCTGAGGATTATATCGGCCTTAGAAATTTTTGGACAACGTTTCGAAACGCTAGTTACCCTTGACTCCCTACCCACTTTTAAAGAAAGCTAGTCACCTATGTATGAGGCCCAGTTTTGTTTTTTGGCCTGCCTTTGTGAAGCACGTATAGCTCGATGTTTAGCTTTGTGCTTAACAGCAAAGCGATGAGGGACCCCCCCCCAAAAAAAACAACAACAACAACAACAAAAACATGATTATTATGGTGTGAACGCCTTTTCCAAGCTGGCGAAGCATGATTACAATTAATTATGCTTGTTATAAGATATTAACATTAGGCCTATAATATTTTTAACACTACATTATTTATCTTGTGTACTGAGGATTTCCAAGAATTAGAAGAGTGTTTAATAACAGTAATTCAACAACACTGTGTTCGCATTGTCCACTACCAACGACGCGTGTGATAATACTATCTCAACCACTCCAGATTCGCTATATCGTTGGCAATGGATATGTCGATTATAGAGTGGTTGAAATACTTTTATTATACACTCTTCTAATTCTTGGAACTGCCTAAGGGCAAAGTTAAAGAATATAGGGTTTAAAAATAAAGAGTTGTATATAAATTGAGTGCCAAATGTGGTATCGTTTGGAACTAACTCAGTGACTTATTTTCCTTCACCATTCCAAACCATAATCAAAATACATACTCCATGTGTTATCAACGAAGTTTTCGCTCTTTTTCAGCGAACATGTGAAACCTGTTCGCCAACAGTGTACTAATCAAAGCAATCTTAAGCCTAATAAGTCATAAAAATTTGTCCTCCCGCTTCCCATATTCATTATCATTCAATTAACTTATAAGGATTATATCTTGTAAACATTAAAAAAATCATCTTTACATATCTATATGGTTTTCTATACATTAACAAATACCGTTGAGAAGTTCTATTATGTGTATTTTCTTTTGTTAAGCTGGCAAAGTATTAAAAAACTGGTATGATCAGAAAATGTAAACGACCGGATTTAATGCAAAACCTGGTCTTGTGTAAAAAGGAACGTACTTAAAATTATTACCAGATATTTTTATAGCATTCTGTACAGCTGTAATAATTTATTTTGTAGACATTATTTAAAAAATAGAATAATTCTACATGAATACATGACTACATCACCTATAATATGAAATTATTATTATAATATATTTTGGATGAGTAAAAGCCGTTACAACTCATGAAGAGTTCAAAGTGAGTGGGCATTTATTTATTAAGGGCCTTGATGTTGGAGAAAATTAGCAGAAATACAAAGGTATATATCATTACAGCAGTGGTTCCTAACCTTTTCACCACCAAGGACCTCCTTTTATTTTATTTTTTCCCCACAGACCCCATGTTTTTGAAAGATTAAGTCTACCCAACAAACTGTTTTTATTAACTAATAATTAACCTGTTTTTTCATTTTTCACTGTCAAATAAAAGACATGTATAACTGAGTGTGCAATTAAAAGAACAGCAGTATTAAAAAACTTACTTGTTTAATGAACTGGTTAATGTTGCTTTATTGATACTATGTTCCACATGTTTTTCCCACCAGAACGCATCGAGGAGCTTAGCTGAATTATTAACGGCTTTTCTCACATACGTAGAGAGCCAGAAAAATTGTGACAGTTAAAGAACATTCTCAGATTTTTACGTTGTTATTATTCTGTATCTTTCCGTGCATTATTTAATTAAAGAACATAGCTTGCGGACCCCAGGTTGGGAACCACTGCATTAGAGCGTGGTGTCCTGTCATTGGTCGAGTTTCATGTTAAACCATGTTCCTAGAAACTATGGATGAGAAATTTGTAGGAAGACGAGACAAAAAAGAAACAATAAGTTAGTTTTTGATTGTGCCTGAAGAAGAAAAAATGGGACGGAGTTGAAATTTGCAAAATAAATCCTTAAGTTGCATTTACCAACAAAGTTTACACTTTCAATTTACACTATTATTCAGTCATGCAAACAAGCTATGGGATTATTACTGAAGCTAAAGTTTAAAGGCTTAATGATGGATGATCAGAGAATAAGAAATCCCCAGATGAACTTTGGAATTGTGACGAAAGTTGAAGTTTAAATGTTTATTTATAGAGATCTAGAAAGGAAGATATCTTCACACAAGATACGGGATTTCACGTGAATTAAAACCGAAGAAAGACTTATCTGAAGTTTTCTAAATAGAGAAAATCCTATGACCTGACCTTTGCCTATGACCCAAACAAATGAAAGAAGGTCTTAGCCTAGCAAATATAAACAAGGGCCATATCGTTGTTTCTACCTCTTGATTGGTCCAACAAGATGCACTTTTGACAGTTCTAAATATTACCCCCCCCCCCAAAAAAAAACATTCTCTATCACACTTAGTGCTCTATGGTTACTACTAGTTAAAAATTCAAAATATTCAGTTGATACCTCGAAACTTAAAATACACTCAAAACCAATGTCTTCTGTCATTTTAGGAAACTTTAGACACGTGACACAGTTCTTCACCACTCATAAGTTCTGTTACTAATAATATTTACTAATTTAACTCATTTATTAATAGCTCAGTAGCATAGCACATTACAGTGCTGTCGATCGGTGATTTTGCATACTTGTGATGTGGCATGCGTGGTAATGTGGTATGCTGTTTAGGATCGGCGATTAGGTATTCCCAATCGACAGCACTCACACATGCCACATCACAAGTATGCAAAATCAATACCTAATCGCCGATCCTAAATAAATATCTATCAATTCAAGTGCTTGATTTTCAATAGTTGTTGCTATTGTAGTTATATTGCTTAGTGGTTAGCGGATTGGAAGGTACAAAATTTGAGTTGTGACTCCGCTTAACAAACTCCGAATTTTCAGCCATGGGTGCGTTATAAAAGTTACAATCAAACCAATTACTTGGTTCAAGAAGCCGGAAAACATCTTTGTGGTGGCGGATGCAGCTGACCGGCTGCCCTTTCTCTGTTAATAGTTCAAAGGTAGGAGAGACGACTATACTTGATCCCTAAGGGGTCTCTGATCTGGACGTATAGCCCATCTACACATAAGGTGCTGTTCAGATTGAAAATACCAACCATTCTATTATACACAAATTCTCACTGCTGTATTTAATCACTCACACTTTTATTTCATTGATTAAACTTCCCACAAGCACAAGAAGTATTAAGAAAAACAGAGTTTTGCTTAAATTCGTATTCCTAGGTGGATCAGCGGTAACTTTACACACCATGCTAAAATCCGGGGTTCGATTCCCCGCGGTAGATTGAGCCTAAATATCCCATTGTATAGCGCTTTGCGCTAAAATCAACAACAACGGCTTTATTTAGTTTTTCGTTGACAATCCTCTAAGTTATTTGAAGTCATTTGATAATCCATAATTTCACCTTTTCCATGTTCCTTAAAGTTTCAAGTTTAGAATTTCTTTTATTGGTAACCTAAATTAGGGTTTTCTCTATTGGCGATTTATTTATTTATATTAGCGAACTAATACACTTTAACATTAGTATTGTTCTCCGATTTCGAACTAGTTTTCGTTTAGAAACGGATAAAATACAGTGGGAATTTATATAAGAAACCACCAAAGAAAAGGGTCACAAAATGTTTCAACCAATGGCAACAACCCTTCTTTCGCACTTTCTTAGAAAACAGATCTCCTGACTGAAAGCACTATGACACTATTTTTTGACACGGCGGTTGGAAGACGACACTGCAACTGAACTGAAAAATATTTCTTGTTAAAGACAACTATACATTGTTTGTTTGTTTGTTTTGAATTTCGCGCAAATCTACACGAGCGCTATCTTCGCTAGCCGTCCCTAATTTAAGCAGTGTAAGACTAGAGGGAAGGCAGTTAGTCATCACCACCCACCGCCAACTCTTGGGCTACTCTTTTACTAACAAATAGTGGGATTGACCGTCACATTTTAACGCCCCCACGGCTGAAACGGAGAGCATGTTTGGTGGGACGGAGATTCGAACCCGCGGATTGCGAATCGAGCGCCCTAACCACCTGGCCATGCCGGGCAAATGTATTATAATTAGCACCCTAAAAACCATATAAAGGTTAATTCTGACGCATTTAGTGTGTTAATATTCGTATTTTATGCATAAACATCATTTTATCTTCATTGATCATGTTACTTGCCGTTAATTGTCATGGGATATGCGTAGACAGTAGATAAGTTTTTGCATAAACAGATTGTAAGGGCTCTGGAAAGGGCTTCATCTCATCTTCCTAAAACCAGGCCATTTTACTACAGCGTAAAGGCCCTTAACAAGTTACATTAATAAAACTGTCTCCATTTCAGTAGTCATAGAAGAAACACCCAGAGAATGTTACATCATTGGTATATTTGTGTAGGAAAGATTTTAAAGATGTCAAAACGAAAACGAAAAGTTTGATTATTTCGGTCAAACCTGATAGTTCAAAAACAGAGGTGGGTAGAATATCACCAGAAGAGTTAAAAAAACCTGTTTAAAGCAGAATATGGATGGAATTCTATGAAAGTTGTCCGAAAAGTTCGTGACCCGATCTAAAAAATTGGAATGTATAATTATTTTCCTGATAAGTATTAAGTTTGAACCACTTTCTGAGTAAACAACAGGATAACATATAACGTTGCGGGTGTTTGAAGGAAAGAAGTGAGTAGTGTTAAACATCATGGAGAAGATCGAACTTTGTGTCGGGATCAAATATTTTTTAAGAAAGAAAAACCCGCTGCAAGAAATACACCAGGACATGGATGCAACATTAGGAGAGAGTGCTTCGGCATAAAAAGTATTGTGGTGTGTTTAACGCGGTCGACAATTGTGTGAAGATCAGCCCCAAACATCGACCACACCAGATATTGTAGATAAAGTTCATGATTTGGTTATATCTGACAGAAAAATTACCATTAGAAAGTTAGCACAGGAAGTGGGAATCGGTAAAGGTACTGTAGCAAGAATTTTGAGTGACAGGTTAGACACGAGTTAGGTTAGTTCCAGATGAGTTCAAAAATGTTGCCACCTGACCAGAAACGAATCCAAGTTGTTGAAAGCCAGCATCTACTCTAAAGGTTTCAGTATAACCCTAACGATTTTATCAACAAACTCGTAACTACGAAGACAAAAAAAAATGCAACGCTTGCAATGAAAACACCCATGTTCAGCCACCCGAAAGAAGTTCAAGTCACACCCTTTTGCTGAGAAGGTCATGACATTATCTTTTGGGTATGATAAGGGCGTTTTACTAGTTGATTATTTAGAAAGAAGTCAGACTGTTACAAGATATTACTATGTATCCATAATCAACAACTTGCGTCAAGAAATCAAAGAAAGGAGAAGAGGATTGATAAAAAAAAGTGTGCTGTTCCATCAGAATAATATGCCCCAGCCCACAAATCGCGTGTTGTTTTGAATGCTCTCCATGATGCTGCCTTCGAATTACTTAGTCACCCCCTTACTCACCGGATTTAGCTCCAGGTAGCGTTTTTCTCTTCCTAACTTTAAAATCTTTCTGAATAGTCGAAGGTTCCAGAGTGATGATGACCTCGTACATACCATCCAGTCATCGATTGAGGAACAAGAAAGAGTGTTATTTCAATAAAACATATAGACCTAAGAGCACTACTGGCGCAAATCTATAAACTCAGAAGGAAATTATGTTGCAAAATCAATCATAGTTGAACCAGTATCTATTTTGTTTATAGGCCGGGCCACGAACGTTTCGGACACCCCTCGTATAATATAAATAATTTAAATTTTTAGAGATAGTAAGAAGTTTGGAAAAAATGTCGATTTAAAAATATTGTAATATTGAATGTTTCATTGGCAATAATTAATAATACGACAAATGTAAGGGTTTTGAGAGTATGGCGCTGTTTTTTATCCATGAATCGTTGTAAAAACGATTTGTAATTTAATGTACCACATATCTGAGCAATATATAAAGAACATCTGCTGTACACTCATCCACTGATCGTGAGATTCGCTATTTGGTTAAGAGTACCTGCTTCAGACGGTGGGTGCTGCCAACTGTTTGCCTTCTCTCTGATTCATGGTTCAAAATTATGCCAGAACCATGGGAGGAGGGACGGGTCTCGGACCTGGCCGATTCAGCAATTTGAGCATAAGGTGTGGTTAATCTGGGTGAATAAAGTCATTCTGTCACCAGAGGGTCATGTCCCAAAACAGTGTACTTAACCTTCTCATTTGATGGTTCTTTAAATATCAATTTAGATAAATTTTGGTCCTCCTAACATATGTATTTGTGATTTCAGAGTGCCACTAGAAGTCGCGATAAATACTGAAAGTTAGGTTACACTTCAACTTTATTATCACTCCAGACATTTGTACAGTCACATCTAAAAAAAATAAACGGAAACTAAAGTTATCTGGTTGGTGGTATCTTTGATTCCTTAGAGAATAACAAGAACATCTTATTAGCATTTGACATAATATTTACTGAAACGCACATTGAATAATTCCGAAAATGTATAAGCTTTTATACACAAAGTGTTTTTTTTTTTTTTACTTTTTAAAATTTTAGTTGCTGGACAACTCATGAGAATCAGGGTTATTTTTGGATCATTCGCGGACCAATCACCTTGTCCATTGTGGTAAGTTCCCTGATTCTTTTATGTTATTCACCATTGCTCCGGTTTTACATTATTTCTCATTTTAATTGCACATTTATTTTTGTTTTTCTATAACTAGTCACTTTTCGTTTGTTTTCTGTTAATAAACAAACGTTGTATCATTATTTAGCTATTCAGTTTTAAATGTAATAAATTTGTATCATTATTCTGTCATATAATTGTACGTGTATTCGGTTTACTCAAATTTTCCGTTAGAAATGTATTGATTTCCTGTTATTATTCAGTTGTAAGTGCGCTGGTTTTGTTTTTATTTACTCATAGGGACACTGGTTCTGTGTTAGTATTCATTTGCACATAGCTGTACTGTTTTTGTGTTACTACTTTATTCATTTGAAAATATCATGGCGTTTGTTAGTTTTCAGTTTTAGGTGCACTTTTTGTGTTATTATTTAGTTCTTTTGTTGTAAATGTCCTAGCTTTGTTATTCTTCAGTTGTAGGTGCACTTGTTTTGTGTTATTATTTAGTTATTTTGTTGTAAGTGTTCTAACTTTTATTTGTCTTCAGTTGTAGGTGCACTTGTTTTGTGTTATTATTTAGTTATATTGTTGTAAGTGCTCTAACTTTTGTTTTATGTTATTATTTAGTAGTTTTGTTGTAAGTGTCCTAGCTTTTGTTATTCTTCAGTTGCAGGTGCACTTGTTTTGTGTTATTATTTAGTTATTTTGTTGTAAGTGTTCTAACTTTTATTTGTCTTCAGTTGTAGGTGCACCTGTTTTATGTTATTATTTAGTAGTTTTGTTGTAAGTGTCCTAGCTTTTGTTAGTATTCAGTTGTAGGTGCATTTGATTTGTGTTATTATTTAGTTATTCAGTTGTAAATGCTCTAAATTTTGTTAGTATTCTGTTGTAAGTTCGCTGATTTTATGCCATTATTTTCTTGTTCTGTTATAAATGCCCTAGCTTTTGTTATTCTTCAGTTGCAGGTGCACTTGTTTTGTGTTATTATTTAGTTATTTTGTTGTAAGTGTTATAACTTTTATTAGTATACAGTTCTAGATGTGCTTGTTTTGTGTTAATATTCAGTTTTAAAGATGCACTTACTTTCTTGTTTTCCTGTTAAAAATATATAAATATAAATTTCCAGGGTGTGTATATTTCCTCTATACATAAAAAAACTTGGAAAACAACTGAGACAAGTTTGGAATTTTTTCACTCGAAAGAAAGACGCCTCACTCCCTACTGTTTCAGGATAAGTTTGAGGGTTTATAACTCTAAAAATATGATTTCGATCCCTGCAGTGGGCACAGTACAGATAGCCTATTGTACAGCTTTGTGCTTTACAAAAACAAACCAAAAACTAAAATAGTAGGTGTCATAAAGTATCATCTGTTTTTAGCGTGATATTTTTTGCTACACACTATTAACTTCGACGCTCTGGTTATGATAGTGCTTTCCCAGAAGATAGCCGAGAGCATGAAATCAACATTAAAGAAATTGAGAAGACTGTGAATGTATGAAGCCTAAATTACATTCACCACATCCAGCAGATTGTCATATTTTGAGATAGCCTTACATAAACGATCTAACGTTAATAGAAATTTCTGATAACTCCTTTTTTTTCTTTTTATAGTTATATTTAGCTAGTGTTGAAATAAATGATCCGCCGGATATCTATGTAAGGTTTCACGCGAGTACGAAAATAAGGATTTTAGCCTTGTAGCTATAGTTACATAGGTGTTGACATATTATATACATGTGTGTGTAGGCGAAAAGGCTGATTTTCAGGTCTGTTTTTTATTGCATATTTTATTATAACATCTCATACACACATTCTTACAGTAAGATTAACGTGAAGAAATCAAATAATGTTTACCAATAGATCAGGAATTAAGCTCCACCATATTTTCTCAAAATATAAAAGTTAACAAAAATCAACCATTCATTTAATATTTTTTTCTATGGCTCTTGTTTTGATAAATGATGTGTTATTATAGGTTCAAACTTTTCAATTAACTTAATGTATAGCTAAAATTTCATTAGTAGGGTATGGGTCGTTCCTGATGAAAATTGTTCTCAAATTTGAACTATAAACTTCCTTCCTTAAGTGTGTTTTTCTAGGTGCTGTCAAGGTTTACTTCTCTAGACCATTTCAAACAAGAAGGAAAATCCACGTTGGCGCCAAAAAGTCCGTAAGGTCGTTTAAAAGCTTTAGAAACAATTTGTATGAGGGGTATATATATATACGTTTCAAGTTACTCAAACTTGAATAGCAAAACAAAATTATTTACTAAACTACTACAGTTTACACCACCGAAACATAAAGCCTTAGTGGTGCGTATTTCAAGTAGCAGCGACACTGTAAAATATTAGATGGTGTGTTTCAGAGTGAAGCGATTTATATAGATATGAAAAACTCTATGAAAAGTTGACTCCACATGCGTGTGACGCTATGGTAGAGTTTTGTCCTTTTAACTGCTTGTTGGACGCGCATCATTAGCGTTTTCTCGCTTCTACAAAGCTCTTTGATTTGAAATGACTGTTAGCGTTTCTTCAGTAGTTATTGTTCAGATTTCTGTTTGTAAATGGTTTGAAAATATGTTGTACTTACTTTTGTATCGCCAATGGCGCTTTTTTACAAATTGTTTTGAAAAAACCAACAATTTTCTTTCAAGTAGCAGCTAAGTTGTCGTTCGAGAAACATATTTCAAGTTAAGCTGTGGAGTTGTTTGTTTGTTTTAGAGCAAAGCCAGATTGGGCTATCTGCTTTGTCCACCGCGGGGAACCCAAATATTTTTGATGGTGGGTTTTTAAAGCAAAGCTATTCAATGGACCATATGCGCTGTGTTCACTGCGGGGAATCAGTTCCTGAATCTTAGCATTGTCAGTTCAAACATTGATCTTGACCCTCCTAAAATTAGTCACTTCAAAGTTGGGTTATAGTCCAAATGT